CTAACATTTAAAATTCCTAGCAAATTAGGTGCAGAACAAATATAATCCAGTCAATAACAGATTATCCGAGTCAGTAACGTTATCTGAATTACCCAAATTAAAGTATATAGTGCTATTCTGGCTAACTAAGTCCATTTTATATATTAGCCTGATAAATTTTTATACAGTACATCATAAATTTGATTTGATTAGATTAGAAAAGATCAGAAAAAACTTATTTTTCTTTTAGACCACCAATGTCATATATTTGTGATCAAGTAAGCAATTTTGAGGGATAGTAACTTTGTGGGCAGGGATCAGGACAAAATTTAACAGCATCCAGTGATCTTTGGAATGTCTAACAACTTTATTTGTATTCCTGACTAGATTGCCCTATTTACTTGCAACTAACAGATTGTGAAAATGGAAATCGTCTTCACTCAGTATACATCTGGAAGATTTGTAGTGAAAGGAAAGATCCCATGTTATACAGAAATCAGCATCAGCTCTATAAAAAATTAGTGGGAAAAAGCCAAGTATTGTGCTGTGGTCCAGCTGGAAGTGGTGTGGGGACATTGTTATTCTGTCTTGTTCCTGCCAGCCCAACAATGTATATCAAATCCTACCTTACTAAGAGTAGTCCTATCTGTCAAGGATAAGAAATTTAGGAAAGTTGCACAGAGCACAATGTTATTGTTAAGACAATGAATCACTTTTTCCTGCTTTATCATTAGAACTCTGATCCAGAGTATGTTCCTCCTTGTGAGGAAAAGTCAAGGATATCTAATGAGGAGATAGAGGAATGCTGAGGTCCTGTTTGGATCTTCTGCCATCTTTGACCTAAGCATCTAGAAGTGATTATGTGATCTGTAATGAAAAATGAAACCATTTAGTGCCCTCCAGTTCTTCAATTCTGGGTCCATTCTAAATAGGCCACCTTCAGGGGGGCTGTTGGAATCCTGAGACTCTTCCTGACACCCACACATTCAGAGACCAAAAATGTACTCATCTCTCCTCTGAAGTCTCATTCAGCTTTGGGTCGGTCCAGCTAAGAAGATGGCAGGCCATGATAGACTCATTCCATTTTTGTATTCCACCATCATCTCTGATCAAACTCATTATACAAATGTTGTTGAGCTCCACAATAAAGAAAGAAATAAGAAACATGGCTTGGACAGGATATATTTGGTTGTAAACTCATATAATCACTGTATTCCTTTGTTCGCAATTCTTGTCCTGCCTTTCTGCAAACAAAGGCCCACAGTGCTGCTCACAAAACTCTTCAAGGCATGTATTAAAGTAGACCCAATTAAAAGCTGGGAAAAAAATGTTCTTGCCTTTGAAATTTATGGGATAAGAGGTATTTGGCGGATACCACTTAAAAAGCAGTCAGATTATTCCAGACAAACCTTTTCTTTGGCAAGATGGCTCCAATCACCCTGAAAATGGTAAGATTATAAAACTACTGATTCTGTAAGAGGAACAGTGCCATGGTGATGTTAAGGCAGTCTTGTTGTTCCAGCAAAATAATTTTCTAAAAAAACAAATCAGCCCCATGGAGAAGCGCTAAAAGTTTTAAACCAGGAGCCCAATAACTTTAAATGTTTGCAAACAAAGCTTAGAGTGAAAAGCATGGCACATCAGAGGAGCAGGATTTAACTTTGTGATCTTAAATCCCCACAAGACACTTATTAGCTTGGCGTGCAGCCACCACTGGCTCTGCCTCATGTATTGTTCTCCAATCCCCTTTATCTCCCCAAGAAAGGGCTCTCCGTGCTTATCTGATGCAACATTTGATCTAGGAGCACAGATCCTTTATTACTGTACCACTTGGTCCTGCTGCATTATGAGCCAGGAAGGAAATATAGTTGTAACATGGGTGGATGTTGTTATAAAACTGCAGATGGTAAAAAAACAGGAAACAAAAGGTTTGCCCACAGTGGGGGGAATGGGGGAACCTGTTGTGCTGATACCTGTACTGTACCCCAAAGGGTGCCCTGTACATCTGTAGGAGACAGGATTAGACTCTCTAATTTCCACTGATTTAGCTTATAATGATCTCAGGAGACAGCACGTTTCTCCATACAACTACTACTCCTGTGTTGCCTAAAATGTTACAATATCTATAATTATTATAGTATAATATATAGAAGATTGAGTTTCATCTTGCCTGTACCATGAATTCTTCCTTAGTACCAAGATCCTGTTTTCTAATATGGGGATACAGGTAGTCCTCATTTAGTGATCACAATTGGGACCGGCAACTCAGTCATTAAGCAAAGCAATCACTAAGTGAAACCATAACTGTACTTATGATCTTACTTCAGCATTCCTTTGCTTTACAAACCTGCAAAGGTCATAAATGTGAGGATTGGTCATAACATTACTTTTTCATCACTGTCATAACTGCGAATGGTCACTAAATGAGGCAGTAGCTAAACATGGACTACCTGTAATCATCTAAGGTGATAGCATCTAACTGACCTTGAACACATTATGGAGTTGGATTTGGTTAGTATTTGGATGGGAGACCACTAGGAAATGTGGTGCATCTCTATAGGTTAGACTGGGACATCAAAAGGACATTCCAGAAGAAGGCAGTGGCAAACCACTTCCATCCTGTTGTCAAGCTCAACTCAAGGGAGACCTTATTTTTACAGGATTATTGCAGTTGGTGGCTAGAAGCTAACTGGATTCCTTTGTGTGTTTAGTTGAAAATACGTCCCTCTGATTTAATGTGATCAGTGGGTAAGTATATACAAGACTTCAACAGACAACATTGAGCTACAAATCAGGAAGTTCTTCAGATAATTTGCCCAGTGGCCTAACCACACTTTTCTTCTTCCTAACATAACTCATACAGCACAATATTTGTCCAAGATATACATACAGAAAAGGTATAAGGGGGTACTCAAATATTTTCAAAATTACTTACTCATTGTGGATGTTCTAGGGAATGGTTCATTGCAGACCTACTCTCAGTAACTATACACATTTTTGTATTGCAGTTTACTTATGCACTGGGGAGCTACGGTAAGCAAGCTGGTAGTTTTGGACTACAAATCCCACAATCCCTTGCCATTGTCATATACGTAGGTGTAGCTCACTGAAACTGTCTTATCTAGAGAACATCAGCTGCTTATTCCTGTTGTAGAGGCAGACTAGTAATGGTAATGGCAATAACAGTAGTGGGTTGTCTGGCTCTAAGAAAAGCAGAATTCTATACAGAACCTGGATCCATTCCTTGTGAGTAAAGTTTTGGTAAAGTGAACACAGTCTGTAAGTGGGCTTTTCTGTCTCCAGTTTCTCTAACTCCCTGCCTTGTGTGAGAATTGTAGTTCAACACCTCAGGAGGAATGCCTTGGGGCAAATTATCTCCATTATTTATTTATGTATTCAGTGTCTCCATCTAATAAGAACTAGATGAGATGAAGACCACAGTATTCAAGCAAATCACATTGGCAAGTGAAGGCTGTATTTTTCCAAAAATTCTGCATCCATAGAACTTCTTCTCTCCAGCTGTTTTCCCTGGAATGCTTGGTTCTCTGCATTCCCTGGAATACTTGGATTTCTCCAAGGGAACAGCAATCAACCGAAACAGATATTTTGCTTCTCATGAAGGCCACATGAGGCTTCAAAGAAGCACTTAGTTTGACAAAGCTTTCATCACAGGGCCCCTTTGAAGTGAAGCCCTGAACTGAAGCTGCACCCTCTCCTTATTTGTGATTCAACCCTTAAAATAGGTTCCTGGGAATACAGAGGCCTCTTTCCATTGGAGTAAAGTTGGCCAACCAAATCAAGTCAACCCACTTCAGTCTTCAGTTCAAGGCATCAAGGTAGAGAGATGCCAAGGCAGGAAGATGGCCTGAACTGAGGTGATGTCTTCCAGAGCAGAGATGTTTTGCATGGAAGTCTTATCCACATCTTAAACTCACAGTCCAAAACTGAGTTAGTCCATAAACAAGTATTGTAACACATACTTTTTGCAAAACTGATCCCAGTATCATTTGGGATCACCATACATTTGTTCGTATCTGACTAGTCAACCCAGCCTGATATAAATTACTATGTAGGCAGATTAAAAGCTATTGGGGAAAAAAGCAATTATGACTTTTGAGATATGAAAGTGGTATGGTTTGGTAATGACCTTCTTAGCCTAATGTCATCAATTTACTAATACTGGTGAATATTTGTCATTGAGGAGTTTACTAATTTCTGTGGGAAAAGATTAGCTGGCTCTCAATCGTGCCTCTACACCCCATATCACATGTGCATGTGTGTGCACGTGCACAAGCTTAGAAACCAGTGTCATTCTTGATGGCTTATTTCAGTAAGGGCTTTAAGCACCAGGCATTGTGTGGTGCATGGCTCACCATTGCAATACATGAATGTATCTGGGGGCCTGGCTCAACCAGTCTGTGTCATCAGCTCTAGCCAATGTTGCAATCACTGTGCGCATGTCCTGTGAATAATCACCAAACTCTTTCAAAGGACACAAATCTCTCCTCCCCCCGCCCCACTTGAATCTCTTCCACTTTCCCATCATCGTGCTGTCTGTCTGAGCATGTTTTTTTGTCTTCTTTCTCTTCCAGCCCAAGCTTTTATCCAAGGAGCTGCTAGATCTAGTAGCGTCACATTTCAACCTGAAAGAGAAGGAATACTTTGGAATCGCCTTCACTGATGAGACGTAAGTGTCTTAAGTTCAAAATCCAAAATTTGGAAAAATTGAGGAAGGGTTTCCTTTCTGGAAACTGGAAAATTGCTCCATGGGGCAAAATTAAGTCCATCTCTGAAGAAGTCTGTGTAGATAGTGCTTCTACATTTTGAATTATTCTTGTAACCATGAAGCACAGTAGCATGATTAAGTATACTGAAATCTCGTGTGTGTATATACTTCACTGCAGCATACAGCTAAATGGGAAAAATGGGAAGGGCTCCATCAAAAGAAGAAATTTCTTCCTATTTCCATCTCTTTTTTAATATAATTGAATCTCTATTTCTTCTCTTTACAACGTGGACTCTTCATGAGCAAAAGGTGTCTCTAGTTAGTCATTTATTGTGCAGTGAATAGAATAAAAAGAGCCAATAGATGCTAGAAAATAATCAATATTTAATTAGCATCTTCAAGACCCTTAACTGATTTTGTCCATGGCAAAATCTTGCTGATTCCCAAGGTCCAGTCTTACACAGTGGACGTTGATGCTCATGGGTAAGAACTGAGGCCTTGGCATTCTGAAATAAAATAATAAAATAGTTGTGTGTGTGTATGTGTGTTTGTGTGTATACATATGCACACACCTGCAAGTGCTAGCATTTTCGAAACATCAGGACTCCTAGAAATAATCAATTAAACAGTGGAGTTCATTCATCAATTAAGCCTCCCCTGTCACTTAGGATAATGATCTTAAATGTTCTTGGGAGCCATTTCTACATTCATTTGTCTGCCCTGCTGTCTTTAGGGGAGATCCTGTGACCTGTAGTGGATTTGGGGCAGTTGTACTCAAATTCACATGAGAGAGGACCCCAGGCCAATTAAAAGGGGAAGATTTATATCGTCTAAAGAGGAAACAACCAGGCAGATGGAACCTTATTGTTCTGGGCATGAATGCACCCCAGAGAACACATTCCTAAATATATTAGAGGATTATTAAAAACAATGCCCACACTTTCATGAAGTTTGTCTACTGCTGATTGATAAAATTTCTGGGTACACAGTATTTAAATGCTGCTTTAGAAAGCTAGAAAAATATTCCTTTTCACTCAGAGAAGACTTTAAATCTGAGTTACCTTTAAGTGCAGTTGATCTAGTCTTTTTATTATTATGTTTTTTTTTTAAAAAAAAACCCATACAGTGTAGATGGATTATTTGGAATGCTTTGATTTATTTTGCAGAAACAGTCTGCCTGGGGAACCTTTGGAAATGTCTTTGGGCTGGGAAGCAGGAAGACATGCAAAAGGCATCTATATATGTATATTCATTCATTCATTACAAGTTAAATAATGGATGTTAACTTGTCATGGCTTTTGTGAAATTAAAAGATTGGTGTGGCAGTAAATAGCATTTGACCTCTCTCAAATCTTCAACAATGACTGCCTCTAAGCCTCAGCAGCTAGTGAATTTGCATTGTGGGAGGTGAGCCGTGCTAGCCTATCGTAGCCCAAAATCAGAAGGAGTCTGGTAGCACCTTTTCTGATTAACACATTTTGTTAAAAGGCAGAAGCTTTCATGAGCTGCAGTTCCCTTCATCAGATGTTTGGAGTGTCCAGACTGATGTAGGATTTAAGCTGGGGTGGGGGGGGGAGGGAAAGAGGAAAGGGAAGACAGGTTGGTTGGGCAGATGCAGGTGACATGTGAGACAGATTGTACCTTATCAATTAACCATTGTAATGTCTTAAAAACCCACTGTGTTGGTTGAGACCTTCTGAAACTGCCTGAAACCTTTTAATGGATGGTAGTTCAGCAGCTTCTCACTCAATGTTGCTGATGGGAGCCTTGTTTTTTAACAAAATGGTCTCTTTGAGGTCTGTAACATAGTGTCCTAGGAAGATGAAATACTCCGATATCATGTTGTCCTTGTTTTGAGTCCTGATGTGAAAACATTTCCACTAACGTTCTGAGTCCTGCTAGTTTCCACTAAGGATTATTATAAACAGGATTCTGTAGACATTTGGGAAATTGTCCCTTGCTCTGACTACAAGAATACCCTTTTCTGTAGGTTGAACTACACTGGATTTCAGATCCCGTGTTCCAAAATAATATTAGCCCGGCCCAATTTAATATCTTGCTTTTTTTTTTTTTTTTTTTGGAATTTTGATTTTTTGCCTATATAGGAGGGGGGAAGAAAAAAAGAAGGGATTTTTAAATAATTTCTTTTTTGATTTTTTTT